AGGTCCGGAGGCACCTGCTGCCGACGCCTGTCGCCGTCACGTTCGACGCCCCTGGCGGCCCCCAAGTGTGTTGTGTTCAATTTGAACAAGTGAGTCAGTTGGCCTGCACCTTGCTGAGTCTGTCGGTGCCAAATTTGTGGCGATCGCGCCCATAGGCCCGCCACAGAACCGTGGACAGTGCGGCGGGGCGGGGGTCCCGAGCGGCACAGCACCCTCTCCATTAGTACTGCTCTGAAGACTATGGTCCCGGCGACCGTCTTCACTGGTAAAACAAAGGTGAGAATCCCAACCTTTAAAAGGCACTAACAAAGTTTAGTGCCTTTCCAAAGGCACTAAAGCTTAGTGGCGTCCAAGGCACTAAATGTGACCTTTCACACCTTTAGCTGGTTAGCTTCATATGAGTTCCACTCAAGTTTAGTGCCTTGGGAAAGGCACGAAACTTTAGTGCCCTAAGAAAGGCACTAAACTGCGCCCTTGACTTTAGTGCCCCAGGAAAGGTGTTGTTTAGTGCCTTTCTTTTTCCAGTGTTTGTGATCTTCAGAATCAACTCTCTGCTTCTTGCAACTAAGTAGTGACTACGGAACAGTTTGGTTCCTACAACCAGAGAGTCAATCGTGCCCCAAGCTACTAGAAATTCTGGTCGTAGTAATCAACTTCTGATTACGACAACGAATTTTTTTTTTTCGTTTTCGCATGCACGCCTTGCGACTATTTATAGCACCTTAATTGGGCCTGAATAATAGGTGTATTTAGTTTCGACAACAGAGCCCTTTCACGGGAAAAACAAAAGGTAGGACGTAATGCCTTTAAAGGGGTGTAAACTGTAATGCCTTTGTAAAGGCACCAAAATGTCTATAGGCAGTAACTACCTTTGTTTTTCCAGTGGTTGTACTCCTAAACAAATTCTCAGCGCTCACCATTTTCGACACGCATCTTTCTCGCGCCAGCCACAAAGTGCAGTGCCACCCTAATAAGCGTTGCGCTGCCGCAAGAAAGAAGCATTCATTTACGCGCAGAGAATTTGTTTCGGGGTCCAAAAGGGATTTATTTATCCCCAAAAGTCCCAGTCCATCTTTACTAGTTTGTCTTTTCCCCCCTCATCTAAAATAATGACTGCTTACAGCGGCGTCATAATCATAAATCACATTCAGGAACACTTCATGAGAAGCCACGAAACATACACCTTTGTTTTAGCGAGTGAAATGAGCCATTTCCTCGGCGGGCCAGGACGGGCGGGGCGCGGGGCGATTGCAGATTGGGGTAGTCTGAGTGCACTCCCTCCCCTCGGTCCGCCCCCAGCCCGGCCTCTGCTCGCGTGCCGCTGGGCAGCGCTGGCGTGCCGCGTCGGCCTATTAACAACAAGTGTTTTCACGGCGCTCCTTGCGAGTCAAACGAAT